CTTTTACTTCATGATGCAACATAACGCTGCACTCTAAGTACAAATAAAATATTATTGGTTATAAATAAAAGTGCTCCATTAGCTTTTTCAAGTAAAAAAATAAAATAGGACCTCTCAATTTCAGAATTATAAAGTATTCATAAAGAAGCATATTTTCCATACAGTACATTAAAGTGCATAAAAAACAAGGCAAAATACAGCAAGTATGTAAGCAACTGTTTCTCAACTGAGGTGAAAAAAACGATGGTTATAAAAACCACCTATGGTCATTGAAGCAGACGGCTACAAGACAACAAGCATGGCGTAAAACACCAAAATATTTCCAGCATTTTTCTTTCGCAATCCTTTCTTAGCTGCTGAAGAGAAGATATTTTCCTTTGATTAGAAGCAGATCTACAGGATCCAGATGCTGCTAAAGGTTGAAAATTTCTAGTTAAAATGTGAAAGCTGTTTCATTTTCGTTATAAAATGCCTTATAATGAATTTAGTTGCCTCTAACGTGAAAACTGTTCCGCTCCCAGCGTTTAGAGTCGATTCCATCTTAATAAAAAACGAAAAGAACAGTAAAACATTTATTATTGATGGAGTCAATGATCCTCGGCTGCAAACCGACGTTCCAGATTGAAGGAGAGTTTTCCATGTCGTAATCTGACCTCTAATAGTGACTTTACACCGTTTCACACGCCTGTAAAAAGCTTTAATGTGCAGCAGAGGAAACGTTAGCCGTTAAACTACATTAGCTGGAGATAAAACCAGCATGTCTGCATCTCTTCCTGCAGAAAAATTCACACCATTTGTCACGCAGCTCCTCCATTTTTAAAAGAGCTCCAGGGAAAAAACCCGCCTAATGTGACCGGAGAGGAATCCTCTTATTTTAAATGAAGCTGAGGGAGGTGATGGTGAGTCAGCAGCTGCTGCAGAAAATGACCCAGAATCAGCTGCAGGAGATTCGGTCTGACCTAAACCTGCTGGAGAAACTGCTGAATTCACAGCACCCCCCCCCCCCCCCGCCGTTATCCAAACCTTTCCTGCCTTTAAACCAAGTTTACTGGGAGCAGAAAATTCATCCATCTGACATCTGAAAGGAGATTTAATCTTAAATCTGTTTAAAAAAAAAAAAGTGTGTTTTAAGTAGAGTAACAATCGTTCAGTTTGGTTTATAGACAATTTCCTGATTCCCATATTTTCTCAAACCCCTGAACTGAGCGTTTGTTATTTTCTTTCTGTTTTCTGTCTTAATGTTCGCAGTGGGCTTCTGGTCCGGAGGGCTTTACCGTATTAACAGGAGAAGAGGAGCAAGTGAAATTAGACACTGCCATCTGACAATATGCGGTAATTTATAAATGTTTTAAATAAGGTTGGGTCTGGATCCAGACTGCGGTCAGCCAATCCGGAACCTCTGCTATAGAGGAACCAGGTTAAACTAACCACTGATTGGATCATAGCTGATCTGAATCCAACAGATTGAAAACCAAGGATAGAGGATACATCAGACCAGTCCTTCAAAATGGGCAAAAAGAAGGACACATTTTAAGGTCGCATAACTAGGAGTCATGGAATCCGACCAGACCTTCGGAGGACACAGCCAATAAATTTGAACAGAGCCAGAGTCTCTGATTAACGGGTAAAGCAGAGATAACCTTACATGTCCATCATGAACCAATCAGACGGAGTCAGGCTGATGACATCAGCTGTAAGGTCAGAGGTCAGCTCCAAACCGTAGACAGATTCTGCTGCTTTGATCAGTTACAGCTGCACCGACCATCAGATGTAGAAACCTCCTGACAGGACGCCTAACGACGTCATTCTGGGATGTTTCCACGGCGATAATGAGGGAACAGATAAGCAGCGCTGAGGCTGGAGAGGACGACATTAATGAAAGATCTGACGCTGGATGGTTTACGTCGCGCTGGGCTGCAGGAGGTTCTGATCAAATAAACGCTCGTTTAATATCCAATCAGGCCGCAGCAGCAGCAGCATCAGAATATAACTGAACTTTACCAGAGATACGGGAAACCAGTGGTTTAAGAAAAGGTTTTATATGCTTAGAAAAAAACACTAGAAATGTAGAAAAATATATAAATTATTGCACCATTGTCTGTGATTACAGGGTTTCCGCAGGTCATTAAAAGTAATTAAAAGCCATTAAATTATTATTTGTTAAATAAAGCTAGGCATTAAAATTCATTATCATGGCATTTGAAATGCTTTATAAAAAAAGAAACTGCTTTCGGTTGATTGGTATGTTTGGAAAAGAAAGAAACTTGAAGTGGAGAAAAGCTAGGGAATAGGGAAATGCAAATTTCAACAAAAGTGGCTGGAAAATGAGGAATTCAACATGGCTGCAGCCTGTCGACGGTAAAGACGACCAAGGATTTTGTTGTGTGTGTTTGTGTATATATATATTAGGGCTGGGTATTTTGGCCAAAGTCCTGAATCGATTCGATTTTGATTCATACACTTCTAAATCGATTAATTTCGATTTATTCTACACAGTTTTCCCACACGATTTTTACCATAATGAAAATGGTTCAACTGGGTTTCAAAATGCTGATGCATTTTATTTTTTCCTGTCATATTAAACACAACGTGCAAACTTGTAAATCGGACAGTTTAAACTTGATATATAATCGGCCCCCTATCGGTATCGGCCTTAAAACTGAATATCGGACATCGGCCACCCCACCGATATTTGATCAGCTTCTGAGTTTCTAAAGTCTAAAAAAAAAAAAATAAATACTACTTCTTCCTCAAAAACTTCTTTTTTACAGACCTAAAAACTTCTAAAGACGAGGGAAAAAATATTGATCTATTAAAATATCCCAATATCTTCATATGCTGATATATTGCCATTTAAAAACACCATATCAATCTCTTTTACTAATGAAATATTGCTATATGTCATCGTTATGCTACGAAATCCCCCGAAAATTCACGAAATGTTGCCATATTTTTATATGTTGATATATTGACGCGGTATCGATCTATTTTACTAACAAAATCTCACAAGAATTTGCAAAATATCACGAGAGTTTGTAACAGAACGATGAAATTTCACCAGATTCTGAAAGTAAAATAGATCGATACCGCGTTTTTAAAAATCTATTTGATATCAGCATATGAAAATATATTTGAGTTTATTATTTTTCAAAGTGTCAGAAATGGATAACAAAACTGCTATTTTCAATGACTACTTATTTTTGTCCAGCTTTAACATCGGTATCGATATCGGTTATCGGCTACATGAGTTTTTAAATATCGGCATATCGGATATCGGCCAAAATCCCAATATCGTGCATCCCTAATTTTTTTCATAAAGAGGTGAGAGAGATACGCTGCGCTGACCTGCTCTGTCTGCTGCTCCTTATTCTGGTTTCTGTGAGGCTCAAAGAGGATCACTACTTTATCCGTTTCCTGTCCTCCTGAACTCCTATCATTGGGAAACTTTTCTATTTTAACGTGTCATTCATTGTTTTTGCTCCAGTCTGTCCTGCTAGCTATAAACGCGATGTGCGACTCCAAACTGACCCTTTCCCAGTCAGATTAACAGATTTTATTTTGGATTTTCCTCCAAAGCGGATGTGTTTTACTTTGTAACCACGTCTCTCTTCCTGTCAGACCCATGAAATTGCTGCTGAATTGCTGCGTAGTCCGACTGAAATAGACCTGGGCTCTATGTTAGTCGCAGATACGCTGCCCGTTGACTTTCAATCAGCGCTAAATGCCACGATTTTCTGTTGGTTCGGACACAAAATCGGATTCTGTTTTTTCTGGCCTTTACGGTGAAGAAAGTATGGAGGACAGGAAGAGCCACTGGAAGAAAAAAAAACAAACAAAAAAAATACTAAAGTTTTAAATTTAATATTTAATTGATTCAGCTAGAAATTCAATCTGAATCTCAATCTGTGATTTTCTAAACTGAATTATTAAAGAGGAATTTGTAAATTCTATTTATTAGTCTATTATCAAATACAGCCATTTGACTAATGTATTCCCAAAACCTATTCATAAATTCCAATAAAAAAACAAAGCCAAAAAAAAAGACAATTCATAAATAACTCCTAACCAAACATTTTAAAAGTGATTCCTCTTCTTTTTACTTTGCTTTTTCCATTTAGCATTTCAAAGACATTAGAATTAAAGTGGAAAAATATATTACCTTTTAAAATGTTCGATAAAAAAAAGTATTTATAACATTTATTTAAAAAAAAAATACATTTTTTAAAAATACATTTAGAACTAGGATTTTTTTTTAATAAATTTTTTTTTCTATTCCTTTTTCATTTATTATTCTAATAATTTCTTAGTTTATAAAATGAATAAAAAAAAACAGGATTTGAAAGAAAAGAAGTAGGATTTGAAAATTAAGCGCAGTTTTGAATAATGGAATAAATAAAATTCCAAATTCCCCTCTAATAATTAGATTTGATGGCGCCCGCATAAGTTTTCGCTTTGATAAACTCCACCCAGAAAACTAGATTTCTAACTGTATGAATTATTGTTACATTTAAAATCGTTGCATTTCTCTTTTACTGGCTCTCTTGGTCCTCCATAGAACTCCTGTAACAGAAACACCAAAACACACAAGTTTGTCATTTTAGAATATTTATAAATTAAAGATCTAATGATGCCAATCTATGTGAAGACTTTCTTCTCCTGCTGAAATAAAGTCAGAAACACGTGAACTCAGCAGCTGATAGAGGAAAACATCACCTGCTTTAAAGCAGGTTTTATTTATCTCTGTCTTCACCTGAATGTGTTTTAAAGCGCGTTCACGTGACTTTATTACACGACTTAAAAAAGCAAAAAGTTGATTTTAGAGCCATTAAACAGTCGGAACCTTGAGTTCTCCTCCAGCAGCGAACATCCACTGTTTCATAAGCCTGGAGCAGCACATGACACCTGAAGTAAACACAGCGGCTAACTGCACGTGCGCCCGCTGACAGCCGCTTAATGGCGGCCATTAGGACCCCTCAGCCCGCCAACACCTACGCTCTTACCTGTAGTTGTAGGAAGGAAACTTGCTGCTTTCTTTCAGCATCATCCTGTACAGAGAAATCACCTGAGACCGAGTGGAGGCAGCCATGATGCTACCCACCATTCTCCCTCCGCAGCTCTGTTTGAGACGCAGGACCCTGATTTATAGACAACTAGACAGCGCCTGAACAGAAAGATGTGCTTCAGCTTATATTTTAAGCAAAATGTAATTATTATTTGATTTATAACCAACCTTTTGTAAATAGGTTTATGAATAATTTAGATTGTATCTGTATAAAATTGATGAAAGTGGGTAGATAGATTATTTATTTCCGTTATTGCACACAGGCGTACATCCGGCGACTAATCAGAAGCCCAACACATGAGAGTGGCAGAAGGTGAGTTAGCCTGGCTTACTTTAACCTCTAAAATGTGCCTTCTATCAAGCAACCATGCAGTTATCATGACTCAGCGATATAATGAGGGTTAAATACTTTATTACTGCTCTCTAACTGTCGGCGGTTCGGGGTTTATGTGCCTTAATTTGATCCATAAAGTCTTTATTTTGGGTTCATCTGTGAGCTAGTCTGCTGCAGACACCTGATAGAGCTGCAGCTCCTTCAAAATTACCTGAATTAGATTAAAGCTCAGCCACAATCAGCTATTTAGAGCAAAAACATTTAAATATACAGCTAGTTACCATGATAGCAGGCTGTGACGTCACCTCCCTGTCAAACTGGATCCACTAGAACCAGAACGTTCCTTAAAAATCAAACCACTTTTTGACTCAAACGCAAATATGGTTTCATTTTATTACATTTCCTGACTTTGACTATGTTACTGGTTGCAAACCAGTAAAGAATGTCGTAAATTTAACCTGGTATGTAACCATGTTCTCCCAGTTTATGGAGTCCCTGAAGGTCCAAACACAGCATTTTAACCAGTGGGAGGCTGGACTTTGACTAGGCCGTTGATTCTTTTCCATTTCTTATAGAATCGCTGCTGTTTTTGTTTTGTGTGTTTTCAGATTGACCTCTGACCTGCTAACTTAGCTCCTTTAATAGGGGAAGGCTGTTTTTTTTATGTTTTTGTTTGTTATTTACTTGACCACTGCATCTCCCAACATGCCTTAATTAACTGTGGAGTTTTGGAAAGTTTGGCAGCCCTCTGAAACGTTGCTCCTCTTATAAAAAAAAGTTTGTCAATGACCCTGGGGGTGTGTTTGATTGTAGAGGCTGCGTCCTCCAAGGTCTATCTGGACTGGGTCGTTTGAAGTCCGTGAAAATAAGAACACCGGAAGAGTTTGGTTGTGAATTCAAACAGGTCTAGCCTTCCTGGGCTTTTACCACTGTAAGCTCCTGACCATAGATGAGGGTAGAAACGTAGATCGACCGGTAAATCCAGAGCTTTGCTTTTTTCCTCAGCTTTCTTTTCACCATATCAGACCGATACAGCGCACGCTTCATCTTCCTCGTTGAGCTTCCTCCAGCGTTGTGCAGCGTTGTCGTCGAGCGCTCAAAACCCCGCCCATTTTGCATCAAAAAAAAAAAAAAAAACACCTCTCTGCGTTGTGATTGGCCCGCCAGTTCTAGGGCCTGGGGCATTGATCGAGGCTAGACCAGCCGCAGGGGAAAATGATTTTGGTCGCTGGTGGGTGGGGCTAGTTTACTAGGCTATGATTCATCGGTAGTTGGAACACATCCTTTGATCCCCCTTTCTAAATGGGGGGGACCACCCCCCCAGTCTGCCAATCCAGAAGCGCTTCCCCCCAATAGGCTGGTTTATGCTCAGAAACCAGGTTGTCGACGTGTGTTGCAGTTAACGCAGATATGCCCCGCCCCTTCCACAGACACTCTGCTGCACCTCCTGACCTTACCGTTCCTTACCGGCTTGTTCTGTTTTTTCTGGCCGCCATTGTGGAAAACGACTGGTGAAGATGGAGCAGCCAGCAGAGCGAAGTGCGCGAGAACGCTGGGACCCTTTTTCCACCTGGATCCCCGCTCTTTTTGGCCCTCATGTCCCTCCGTTGTCGCACACACTTGCCCCCACTTCCTCACCGCCTCGGCCGTATCTAGACCCTCAGCTAGTTCCTGATTGGCCCTCTGGCGTCGTGGTGTGGAATAACATAGCGCAGACCACGCGTCAATATTGGGCAGAAATCAAAAATATCTGCGAAAAACTGCTGGGGGAGGATAACCAGGCCTGATGTCCACCCAATGTTGCAGAGTCGCATTCGCCAATGCAGCCCCATAACATCCAGATCCTTTAGTTACTCAGGGTAAATTCCCCCCCCCCCCCCCCCCCCCCCCTCCAATAAAAAGCTTTAAATATTCTGTAAGTGCGGAATATTTGCTTTAATTGTTTAATTGTTTTGCTTTGTTTTTCTCACTTATTCAAACAGCAGGTTTTTCTGTTGAAAAGCGTGCTTAACGTAGAGTTTGAAATTGATTTTGAATTTCATAAACAGCATCATGTCAATCCTTAGCAGGAATATGGGAAATATCACAGTTTACCACATTTTGCATCCCAGCAGCTCTGTTCAAACTTTCTATTTTATAAATTACTGTGAAGATATTGATCGGCGATCATGATTTAGAGTTCAGCTGACCTCTACTGCTGTTCTCACATTGGGTCCAAATGTCCTACAGGGTCCAACCTAGATTAATGCTTCCCCCCATGGGGTGGGGGGGTACAGTATGCTCTTTAGCACTGTATGTGTGAAAGGTCAGAGTCACTTCCTGACTCCTGATATCCATCTGTCTTTGAGAGGAAAGGTCAGCGCTCCTCCTCTGTGTGTCTAAGACTGTCTGCGCCACGAAGCCCCTCAGAGTTAGGCTGGTTTCAACCAGTATGGACAAAATGGGAATAGATTCAGATAAAGTTGAGCTTTTTGGGATTATTCCAACCTTCAGATGGTGGATCTCCGTAGAGATTGACGGATAGAGGCAGGGATTGATAAATTGGCGGTAAATAGATTAAAAAAAGACAATTAAAATCACCCTTGCATTTGTCAGCCAATGGTAGCAAAGAAGCGCTCTGAAAGTAACAGTATTAGCCAATCAGAAGAAGAAGGGGGCGGGTCTTAGGAAAGCGTGTTCCTCCTCCTCTTGTTTCTTCCTCAAGTCGCCAGATAGATTGAGGTTCAGAGCTGAAGGGAAAGTCACCTTGCTGGTTTTTATTAACATCTCTGTATTTCGACATTATATTACTGATTAACAAAGTTTAGAGGTATTGAAATGTTGAAATTGTTGAAATATGTCAATTATTAAACATTTTAATGTTCTCTAAATGCCAGACTGAATTTCACCTACCTTTGTAACAGTTCACCTGTTGAGTGTAGGTTCATTTATAACCTGTTTAGGACAAGGCTTAGCAGCAAAAATGGATCGCATAAGAAATGTGGTTCGTGCAAGTGGTAGATATAGATGATATAGATGCACTTTTGCCTTCTTCTGGCCGTTTTCGGTATTGGATTTTCAAAAATCAAATTTAGGCTTCAGTCATTCACGCAACCTCTGATCCCAAACCCCCCTGGCATGGCTATATATATATAAAAAAAAAAAAATATATATATATATATATATATATATATATATATATATATCAGGGATTGACGTTAAGGATTTTTACCACTTGCCCGACTTTCACATTTCATTTGCCCAGAAACAATTTTTACTTGCCCAGTATAATGTTTGATAAATATAGTTCCTAATATTTATTTTTGTAAATGGTAAAATAGGTGGTGGGGGGTATTACTGTACTTACATTTTTCTGCCTTGCTGTTTTTTAGCCTGCCAAGTCGAAAAAAATATGTCTGATTCATGCAGATTCCCGGACAAAAATCACGCCATTTAAGCAAATATTGGTGATTTTTAAGTAATTCTGAGTGATAAATAATTTCTTTCTGTGATCACTGCACTTGCCTGGCGGGCAAATGCAATGAAATTTGTACTCTCCCAACAATAAAAACTACTTGCCCCGGGCGATCGGGCAACGCTTAACATCGAGCCCTGAATAAATATATATGTATATATATATATATATATATGTATTAGGGATGGGACGATTTATGAAAACCGTCAGAATAGTTCGGTTCGACTGTCTCGGTTCGGTTCGCGTGTGTTTCGTTCGGTTCGTTCGGTTCATGCGCTGCTCCTTTTTCTCATAGGTGAAGCGTTTACACTCCAGAGCAGAAGGTGGCGGTACTGCGACCAAAGCCAACCACCAGTAGTAAACAAGAAGAAGAAGAAGCGAAGCAGCGTAGCCGGGTGAAGCAGAAAAAAATCAGTTGTTGTGGAGAATTGTGTGGGTATGGCGAGTGGGAAAGAACAGGAGTTGGAAGACGCGCCAGCAGCACTTTATAGGTCTGCTGTATGGGAGCGCTTTGCATTTAGAGTGACCTACGATGACGGAGGAAAGAAAGTGGTTGATAAAAGTGCAACAGTGTGCAAGCATTGTGCAACACGTTTTGTTTATGCTAACAGCAACATGTCATGCTAACCCCGAAATCCCTCATACTCCGTCAGCAACCCCCGCTCCGCCCCGCTGCGCTCCAAACCGGCTGCTCAAAGCAAAGCCTACAGCCCCCACTGTGGCATCGTCTGCTCCCCTCTGAGTTCCTTGGAGATGGTAGAGAGCATGTAACCTGACAACAGCCAGATGCATGTCTCGCTCCGCCTACATGAGCGAGACATGCATCTGGCTGTTGTCAGGTTAGAGAGCACGTGCCAGATGATTAAATTCAAAGCAGCAAAACATACGGAAATGATCCAGGGTTTCCGCGGATCATTTAAAATAATTACAATCCATTATTTTTGGGGGGATTTTTTTCATTAATTTCATAATTTTTTATGGAATTTCGGTGTAACAATCAACATGTATCGAATCGAACCGAAAACCGTGACCAGAAACCGTGAATCAAACCGAACCGTGGATTTTGTGAATCGTTCCACCCCTAATATGTATGTATATGTGTGTATGTTATGTTGGGTTGCTGTATAAAACCTGGAACTCTATTTCTGACATTTTGAATTGAAAAAGCTTCCCGGTTGGGAAGAGAAACGTCTTCAAACTTGGAAACAATTTTGTTTTTTTTTATGACGATGACTGAGAATCTTCGTCATCTTATGCACTCTATTGTTTTTGAAGGTAATTTAAACACTTCGTGATATATATCGATTATTACGATATTACGGAACCCCTAAAGGGACATGGAGGGGAAAAAAAGAACTTTTGCAAGATCCCGCAATACTTTTGCAGGATCTCGCAATACTTTTGCGAGATCCCGCGATGCTTTTGCGAGATCCCGCAAAACTTTTGAAGGATCTCGCAATAATTATGCGAGATCCCGCAATAGTTTTGCAAGATCTCGCAAAAGTATTGCGTGATCTCGCAAAAGTTTATTTTTTGCGAGATCTCGCAATAATTTTGCGAGATCCTGCAATACTTTTCTCGCAAAATTATTGCGAGATCCTGCCAAAGTTTTGCCGGATCCTGCAAAAGTTTATTTTTCGCGAGATCTCGCAAAAGTTTTGTGGGATCTCGCAGAAGTTTATTTTTTGCAAGATCCCGCAATACTTTTGCAGGATCTCTTAATAATTTAGCGAGATCCTGCAAAAGTCTTGCAAAAGTTTATTTTTTGCGAGATCTCGCAATACTTTGGCGAGATCCCGCGATGCTTTTGCGAGATCCCGCAAAACTTTTGAAGGATCTCGCAATAATTATGCGAGATCCCGCAATAGGCTGCTCCTTTTTCTGTGGCTCCCGTCCGCGCTGCTCTTAGTTCCTTGGAGATCGTAGAGAGCATGTGCGAGATGATTAAATTCAAAGCAGCAAAAGATGCGGAAATGATCCAGGGTTTCCGCGGATCATTTAAAATAATTACAATCCATTATTTTTTGGGGATTTTTTCATTAATTTTTATGGGATTTCGGGGTACACTGGAAAAAGGATAAAAAAATAAGTAGAAATGTCTTAAATTAAGTGTATTTACGCTTAATTTGAGCAGGTAAATGAGATAGTTTGCCAATAGAGTATTTTTGCTCTTAAAATAAGAAAATTAGATAAAATGCACCTGAAATAAGACAATGCTATTGTTTTCTTATTGTAAGTGTAAATTGTCTTGTTCCATTGGGAAAATCTCTCTTTTAACTACTAAATCCAAGAACAGATACCGTACACTTATTTTAAGAAAAAACAACTTATCTAGATTTCGATTTTTTTCCAGTGTAACAATCAACATATACCGAACCGAAACGTGGATTTTGTGAACCGTTCCACCCGTAGTGTAGATGCTGCTACATGGCTGTTCATCTTATTTTGCATTTGACCAATTAGATGAGCCCTTGGATGATAGATTACCTACTGGAAATTAAGTTGGAAAATCAATGTTAAGAAGTCAAGGAAAAAAGGTAAAAAAAAAAAAAAAAAAAAGTCGAGAAAAAAAGCTCATTTAAAAGTAAAGTAAAGTTAAAAAAGTAGAAAATTAATTAAAAAGTTAAAAAGTAAAGTTAAAAAGTTTATAAGCCTCATTAACAATTCTATTTAGGATTATAAACTAAAAAATGTCAGTTCCAGTTTCAGCATTAATGCCTCTAAGGGTATGTTGGACTAAAAATGTGTTTCTTTCACTTCTTTTAGAAGCAGTTTTATTATTTTTCTTTATATATTCGTACAAGTCGATGTTTCTTGTTATTACATTGACATTAATTTCTGCCATCTAAATATCCATGTTTGAATGTTCCAAAGTTAAGGTCTGGTCCTGGATTTCAAAAACACAAACAATAAGACGATTTTTAAATGTAGACTTTCAGAGTATTTCAGTGAGTGCCCTGTGAAGGGTTAATAGACGCTCAGCTTCGGCACCAAAGTTTCCAAAGTTTCATTGATTGCTGAGCTGCACCTGATGGATGTAATGAGGTGGGATGGTTGGAGGAGCTTCACTTCCTCCTGATCAGTTTGTTTGATTCGCTCGCTGCTTGTTTCCTGCAGATTGAGTTTTTCGTCTCCATCTCCTTCCGCCTGGCAGATCAAGGCCCCCCCGCGCCCCCGCCATCGATCTCTCCCTCCTGTGTCCAGAGCAGTGAAAAAAAAAGCCCCGTCTGGGACCCGAATCCGATCAGCTGCAGATCCACAGGCCTTCTCTGCACCGTGGGTAAGTCAACCTGTAGCTGAGATTAAAAAGCAGCAGCGGGAACAAAAAGGAGCAAATAAACACGAGATGACATTTCCAAACGTGTTAAATAAAACAGCAGCCGTTTACAGCCTAATGCTCGAGAACGAGGCTCCCTGAATGTCAGCCCTGCTTAAAGTGCAACAATGGCGTCGGTTCTGATTCTCTCTGGATGAATATTTCATGGCGCTGACCTCCGTGTCGCTGCACGCTGGCGCACGTTTACGCCGGAGGCTTCCCGACGCCTTGCTCCATTTGCTATGTTTAATGTCACAGCGGCGCAGAGCAAACAGGCCGGCGTGGAGGAAGTAAACAGAGACGACCTCTGCTTTAATTGGCATGAAAAATGCTAATGCAGCCGGAGACGAGGAGGAGGAGCTTAACTTGGCGAGAAGGAAGGACAGCAGCACCTGGAGGGAAGAGAACATCTGTGGAGTGGAGGAGGAGGACAAAGATGTGGAGGGATTCTTGTTCCATTATTCTTTTAAGGGGATTTTATAGAGATAATTCAACCAGATCATCCAGTCAGATTGATTCAAAGTTTTCTATCTAAGGAAAACCAGCTGATTGCATCGACTCATTGACTCTTCAGCAATCCCTCACACTAAGCATGCTTGTAGCGACAGTGGAGAGGAAAAACTCCCTTTGAACAGGAAGAAACCTCCAGCAGAACCAGGCTCAGTGTGAGCGGCCATCTGCTGAGGCCCACTGGGGTTCAAGGAGACAGAAGCAGACATAGAAAAAGAAGCATAGATACAAAAGGCAACTGTCAACCAGCTCCACAGGCGGCCCCGTCCAGGAAACACACAGCCAGGCAGACGAGCTCCGAGCCAGCTCCCATGTCAGAGGATGAAGAGAGCACATCCAGTTAGTCACAGTCAGAGAAACAGGACTAAACTGGAAAACAGGCCAAGCTCCAACATCTAGAAACAAAGGTGTTGATGGCAGCAGCACAGCTGATATTTCTCTCCAGGATGGAGTCACAGCCAAACAGAAACAGACCAGATGAAGCTACTATGCATTTTTTGTCTAATTTCAAATATTATTTTTATTTTTTCATATTTTGTCTACAGATATTTTTCAGTTATTTTTTGATGAAGTTCTAAAAATTTAATTTTTCAAACTGCGTTTTCTTAATGACATTTCCTTCATTTTAAGAACAACGCAAACAATAACACAGTTGTTGCTAACGTCCAGCAGACCAATAGAAACTCGTTTACTTTCTCTGTCTTTAGAAAAACCCTCCCCCAGAAGTAAAGAAAATGTGATTTAAAAAAAAAAAACATTTGTTAAACTAAATTAAATAAAAAGTTTCTCATCTCCGGATTACATTTTCTATTCAAAGATTATTTTCCAAACCAGTTCGTTGCAAGAATAATGGAACAAAATTCCCCCCATAGGTGTGCAGGATTTAGAATAAAATAGAATAAAAAATCACTTTATTGTCCCTCAATGTGCTGTTTTTAGAAACCTGCAGCCATTTTAGCTGAGGACCAGAGGTCTGCGGTTCTAAGGGTTCTGCTGGAGGCTCAGGTTCGGCCGGCCGCTCCTCCTCTGGTTCCGCTCTCCGTCGGGTTTATTAGCCGACTGTGAGCCGCTGGTCCCAGAGGAGCCGTCCTCTGCTGCTGAAGCTAAATTGTCCTCCGCCGGTTGGAAATGAGGCGGATCCTCTGCCTCTAACCGAGTTAGCGAGCTCAGCGCTAATGACGGAGCGTCAGGTAACGATGTTAGAGTCTGCAGGACGGCGGTGGGCGTCATGGCCGACTTTATTAATCTGAACGAGTCTCTCTAAATCCACTTCCTCTTTGCTTCCAGTTTCCTTTTCGTCTGTTGGCTCCTCTTTTATTACCACTGTTCCTTTTTTATTCATTTTATTTCCACTTCCTGCTCATTTTTCACTTTCCTTATGTCTTTGATCTTATTTTCTCTCTGGTTTTTGCTCCCCTGTCCTTTAAATGTCCATCCTCTCCTCTGTGGTTCTGCTTCTCCGTGCTGAGGGTTCTGTCTCCTGTTAGCAGGCCTCGGGTTCCTCTCTCTGCGACCCGTTTCCTGCAGCAGGTAGTCAATTGATTTTCCTGGCGTCGCAGCCTCTCTGTGTGCGGGTGTCCTCCATCTGTTGCTGAAAAAGGTCTTCCTGAACCTGCTGAGCCCCCAACCGCCTCCTCCACCCACGGTTACATAACGTCTGACAACACCTCCACCATCGACCCCTCGCTCTGCAGACACGCTGAACTCTGTGAAAATGAGGTGAAACATTAAACTGAATCCATTCACAGCTCAGAAAATCTGCCAAACAATGAAGTTCCCATAGCGTGGATCCGTCCTGGATCCTGGTTCTGGATGGTTCTGACTATAATGCTCCTCCACGGGATGATGGTTGAATGCGGAGTTGATTTCGTTGCGCTGTAGTTATGGCAATGTAATGCCAAAAAAAAAAAAAAAGCTGGAAAGATTTTGCATTTCAGATAAAAAAAATTCCATCTGTCAGTCTGCTCTATCCAGAACTCCTCAAGAGGAAACGTTTGAGTTTCACCTGGTTTCAGTTCATATAAAATCGATTTGCTAAATAATCATTAGTTGCATCCCTAAACTAAAGTTATATTCCAAATTTGCCGGTGAAGATTCTCAGTCATCCAGGTCATAGTTATTCCAAAAAAAAGTAAAAAAAACAATCTTCTGGACTTTGTTTCCAAGTTTGAAGATGTTTCTCTTCCATTCAGGAAGCTTTTTCAATTCCAAATGTCAGAAATAGCGTTTAGTTCCAGGTTTTATCCAGCAGCCCAACAAAGCCTGGTTTTAGTTTAGAAAACATGCAAATAGAAACGGATGAACGGGTCCCCCCCTTTGGAATGGGGGTCGTTTGGCTTCTTTGTTAGCCTGCAATGCCCCATACCTGACTATGTTAAAGGTGTCCTTTATGGAATCCAGTCTGTGAGGGAAGGTTCCAGAGATTGTCTTGTTTGGTGTTGGACGGACGGGGTTTACTCAGACTTCAGTTGTTCCTGAACGGAGAAGCTGACTGTCACTCAGATTTCCTGCGGTACTTGAACGGGCTGCGGTGCAGATGAAACCTTTGCTCGGTGTGAAGCTCAAACGAGCTCTTGGGGATAATGGATCCAAACTTCCTGCTTGGAACCCCAGCTCAGTTAGAAGCTCAATTGAACCTTCCAGAAGGAGAAGGTCCGAACAAATCCAGTTTGCAGGATGACTTTCCTGTATTGGCATACGCTCTGGCCTCAAAGGTAGTGGCAGTCAGCAGCTTAATAACACCCCAAAGATAATGAGGCAATGAGCTGCAGGTGTGCAGGGAGACCCAATGAAGACGGGGCACCACCTGGTGGAGGAGGAAAGGAAACACAAAAACAGACCACACAAACTGGATTCCTGACAGTTAAAGGGAATAGTTGGCCTGGCTGAACAGACAAGGTCAGGCCAACTATTCCCTCTAACGACCCTCCTTTCAGAGACGTAGACAGGTATGGGAAACAAAGTCCAGTGGATTGATTTTTATTGATTCATTTTTCCTAAAATAGGTGTATTTTCACTTGATTTGAGCAAATAGGAGACAAACTGCCAATAGAATCGGATATTTTAGCTTTAAAATAGGCATATTATTTTAAGTGCATAATATCTAATAGATATATAATGTATAGACTCCCATGCACCTTTTCCGTTGACTATTGAGCGGATTTAACGAGTTTATTTCTCCACTGTGAGATCAATAAAGTCGACCATTCAATCAATAATTATCTTATTTTAAGGCTTGTTCATCTTATCTACCTGCTCAAATACAGTTTTTTTTTTAAGGATAACTAAAACTCACTTTTTAAATCTGTTTTTGCTTCAGTATTATTTTGTTTTATTTATTTTAGATTTTTATCTTCAAAAACGTTTTTTGAGATAAATGTTTGCATCTTTTCAATCAGTTTTTGCATTTTCGGCTGGAAGTTAATGCAAAAAAAGGAGGATTTTAGCAGAAACTCCCGCCTGTTGAACACTTTGTTCGTTTCTATGCATTCAGTAAAGGATTCCTCTGCTGCTCATCCTCCGTTACGCTGGAAACGTTTCCGTCCTTTTAAAAGCCGCCGATTCGCCAACATTGCTTAATTATCAGCAGAGGAATCCCTGACTGCAGGCGCACCCAGAGGACGGCGCTTGGAGCACCTCAGATCCCCAAACACTGAGAAGCTGAGCAGCAGATCTGTGATACGAGCCAGAAACACGGCGTACGTCTCAGAGTGGAACACAGATTTAAATCTTTAACCCGGTCGCCTCTCCACGGCGTCTCCTGGGCATATGTTCGAGCTGCCGCCAGGATTCACGCCTACGCCTGCACGGCCGTGCAGGTTAACAGGTGTACAGGTGGTTTCCTCACCTTCTGCTGCTCCTCAGCTCTATTTTTAGCAGCTGCTCCATAAAAGTTTGAAGGCATCAGCTAAGAGCAGCTTTTAACTCCTCAATATTAGAGCTTTCTGCTGCTTACAGCTTCCTGTGATGCTGCGAGGGAAGATCTGTCCCAGGAGTCCTTTCTGGACCCTTCATCTCCTAATTGATGAAGCTCTGTCCTGGTGATTAGAGGATTATATCACAGGTAAAATCCCTAATAAATCAGACGTACAGCTGTGATTTATTAGAAGTGGAAGTGATGGAGGTCAAACCCGGTGATCCAGAACTGAACCAGCCTCACGTTTTAAAGCGTTCATTCATAGAAAATGTTAGGAGGATCTATTGTGTCTGGCTCAGTGTAGAAACCAGCGGCTGACTCATGCAGCCGCTGATGAAACCATAAAGCATCACGTTAGCCGAGGTTTGCAGGACGTTTTTCTGCCCCTTTTTTCAGGTGTTTAGATGCTAAATATCTGCAGCTCCTTGCTGTTGTGACGGACATGTTGCTGTAAAAGCTGTTTTTGCTGAGCGTCTCCAAAAGCTGCAGCATCATCGCTCTGACGTGTTCTGGCATCGCTTTGGTTCGCTGGATCATA